ACTAGAAATCAGTGGTTAAGTTGTATTTACAACACTGTTCCAGAACAGTTCAACCCAAATATTAAGATGTGTGCAGCGCATTTTATGGAGGACTGTTTCCTGATCCTGGGAGAGTAGACTACAATGCCGGCTGTTCTGACTCACAGACTGTACACTCTTAAAAATAAAGGTGCTTCAAAAGGTTCTTCAAGCGATGCCATAGAAGAACCCTTTTTGGTTCCACAAAGAACCATTTAGTCAAAGGTTCTTTAAAGAACCATCTCTTTCTTACCTTTTTATAATCTGAAGAACCTTCTTTCGCCACAAAGAATGTTAAAGGTTCTTTATGGAACCATTTAGACAAAAAGGTTCTTCTATGGCATCGTGAAGCACCTTTATTTTTAAGAGTGTAAGTACGTTTTCATTTTAAGGGTTTGCCACTGACGATTCAAACGCGAGTTTTGAGCAGTGTAGAGTAGCACTTGTTGTTTGTCATTTTCCCGATCACAAATGCAGACATGGTTTTATGTTTATGTGATGCAACGCAGCGTGTAAAAAGACAGTATAAGTCAGGGATGTCCAAACTCGGTCCTGGAGGGCCGGTGTCCTGCAGAGTTTAGCTCCAACTTGCCTCAACACACCTGACTGGAAGTTTCTATGCCTAGTAGAAGTTGGAGTTTAGCTCCAACTTGCCTCGGCACACCTTTCTAGTATGCCTAATATAAGAGCTTGATTAGCTGGTTCAGGTGTGTTTAATTGGGGTTGGAGCTAAATTCTGCAGGACAGTGGCCCTCCAGGAGCAGGACTGGACTAGTTCAAAACCCTCTATATTCTCCTAAATTCTATTCTGCAAATTAAAATTCCAGTATCATCATGTTTTTGCTGCATCTATAATAAACCTTATTTTGCAACATGGTAGTAAGCTATTTCCTGTGAATGTGCGAGACTGTCTCGCTTTCAGACGATGAGCTTTGTAAAAATCGACGCGTTTCAGAAAGGTGGGGCATAGAGGAGAGACAATAATGTACAGTATGTGGAAAATAATGTGATTTTTGAACCTTAAACCGCATAAACATTTATTTTTTTGTGTTTTTTATTAATGTTCTTTTTAGCAACATCATATGACCCCTTTAAACATACATGTCACTCAAACAGTGGGTGGGCTGGACTAAAATTATAAAGGACCACTCCCTGCTACACAGTTACCCCCGCCTTCTTCTCCAGAAGAACTCCGCAGCCCAAACCCAAACTCTGCCATTCTCCATAGCCCGGAGTTACAAGCACACTGAGAAAAACCAGCACGAGTGTGAGAGGAAGAGAAAGAGAGAGAGAGCAAGTGACAAAGTAACTAATAAAACCCGAAAAAAATATAAAGTGAGGCTTCGCGCCTCGAGAGAGAGAGTACACGAATACGTTCAAGTTTAGTTTATAAAGCGTGGTGGAAAACTTTTCTGGGCTGTGGCAGAAAGCTGTGGACCGCGGAAGATGCCAGAGCAAAGGTGTTGAACTTTCCAGGTAAGTTTGTGTATCTCTTGAAGTTACTTAGTTATGCAGTTGTGGCGTGCGCATCGCACGTTCCATAAAATATTTTTCCAAAGTACTTTTCCAGAGACTGCTTCTTGACTTATTATATTCTTAATTATGTGTAATAACGTTATATATTTGCTGTTTTGGTTTATTGTGTCTCACAAAATCTCACAAACTATTGTTGAACATGAAGAGGGTGGGTGGGTGTGTATCTATCTATCTGTTCAGTGATTGTCATCTGTTGCGCACGTTTTTTCCCCAACAATACTAAAGTTCGCCATTGTTCAGAATTAAGCGTTTAGTTTCTTTAACTTGACCTACTAAATCACTCTGAAGAAACAGGAAAATTTTCTGGGGTTTTGCATGTCATGCAAAAGATACACCCAAGTTAAAACAGTCCAACGTGGATAAGAAGGTAGCCTGACTTTGGTTGCATGACTTTGCCCACGTTGTAAAATAAAACGAATATATTTGGTTTAAAAGAAAGCTATCTACTCATATTATTATTATTATTTTTTTTTTCTTCTTTAAACTCGTGTCACACTTGCATAGATTTTGAATTTTCCTCTTGAAAAGGAGCATTATCCTGCCATACCAAATCTGGTCATAGTTCAAGATTTTTGGACAACGTCAGCACATATTCTACACTGTGGGTGAATTGTTTTCTC